GGGAATAATAGAGGCATAATGGTAACGAGGGAATCATGATAGAACGCAGCATGGAAGCGACCACCATGTCCAGTGATGCGTTATTCAAAAACAACTGCTCGGTTCATCGCTAGGCGTCTGGCTTCGCTCTCTTCATAATACGTATCAGGGTCAATACTGGGTCCATACGGGTATGTAGATGTGTGGTCTGAATTGACATGTCAAATGAGCCCCTCACTGCTGAGAAAAGTCACTTAGATGATGACTGCTAGCGTCCTCAAGCATGGACTGATCGTCTGCCCCCCCAAGATGCCGCTGAATATATTTCCGATCCACATACTCGATCGCCCCACTGAGCCTCTCGGCGAGCTCCATAGTCAACGTTGCTTGACCAGTAGGTGCACCAGACGGCGGCACCTATCCAAGCTGAGGGTATTCACGGAGGAGAGGTATTACATAAAATAGAGGAGTATCCAGAGTCGAACCAGAGATAGTAATCTCCGGCTCAGTCGTTGTGTCGTGTGATGATAGAACGCCTACTACAGGCCGCAACTCCCCCAACATCACTGCGACGCGCTCTACCAGGGACTCTCCTGCTAGTGTTGTAATGCAAACCACCTGACAAACCAACCTAGGCCGACTGACCTCCTTCCCTCCTCCTCCTTACTGATATAGTAGTAGTGACGAGGAGATCTCTGGTATCATCACCAACTCTAGCGGGTACACGTAGCATCAATACGAAGGCAATAGCTCCTCTTATTCCTGCCAGCCACAATACCTGGCAAGGACGGTCGAGGACTTGGTAATAGGATACGTACAATCTGGGAGTTCCGAGAGATAGGCTCATGTCGAGTTGAATGGTTTAAGACCCATGCTAGAGGGAACACATTACACGCTCTAGCGAACACCTGCAGGAGACCACATCAGCATGCTGCGTTGTAGGAGCTCCTTTACAATGAGTAACATAGTGAAGATTATCAGTAAGAGGTTCCAATGATACTCTCCTATAGACATGCAAGCTACTACTCCAAGGTAGAGGAAGACCTAGAAAACCAACGGATGGATAACACTAGGAGGACTTTCGCCCTACCAAAGTCTCTGATATAAAAGCGATAGTTTCGAAGACCAGTTTTGAAGCTACTTGTGACGACTTGGATAAGTTGTGGAAATTATAACGACCGAGAATCTGCCAGAAGGATGGTAGTAGAAATGTTTATGGTTGTGTTACTAATCCGAAGAAGAATATCGCCATGATTCCACTCAGACCAAGGAGCTCAGCTAGGGAGAACGTGAGATAAATAGACAGGAACATACATGCTATCTCGTATTTAGGGTACTTCCCGAGAGACCTGGCAGCAGCACGAGGAGTCCACATGCATTCATACCCATAGGGTACTTACGACTTGCGGTAGGTGCCGCTAACCAGAGCTCCACTGAGGACCCCGAATATGATCGACCCCAACGTAACTATCATGGAATATAAACTACGAGAGGATCTCCGCGGCGTTAGAATGCTGAAGTTGGCAGTTGTGTGTTGATCTCAGCGACTGGGTTCGATCAGGTGAGTCGAGTACACCACTACCAACCTCGCGGTATGGGAATGAATCATCGAGTCGCTTCCTCGATGGAAAATTGAGAGAGTAAATACTCGACAGAAATGTCAAGTGAAATAACCCCATACTACTACCTGTCAAGAAGCTCAATAGGGGACTCCGTGAAATCCCCGAGGGAACTTCTTGATCGCTAAAGTAAACGTCTGGAGTAGAGGAAATACCAGCATAAGGAGTATGGAGAGCACTCACGTTGATAGGATGCAAACAAGACGATTGCCACTGCATCGTTTAAGACGCTCTCACCGAAGACCAGAGAATGCAATGTCTTATTGGGTCGGTATTTGGACCCCCTCATGAGCGCCATCACTGCTACTGGATCGGTACCTTCGACAGGCTGTTGCTGAGGAGGGCAGGATGCTACTCACTGGAGATGAGAGCCCCAAATGTCATACAGTAACCCCGCAGGGCATCTGTATTCTTAAGGCCGACAAGCCAGGTAGTAGAGAACGTCCACAACCCTATGGACGTAACATAGGCCGATATGGTTGTGCCTATAGAGGTACTCGACTTGGATGATGAATTGACCGATTTATGGTACCGATGAACGCGAAGACTAATATTGATGTGAGATTGCTCATGAACATATCCGTGTTGAGCGAGAAACTGGCCTCGAATATAATCGGCGGTAACAGTGCCTATGGAGCTACCAGGCTGACCACCCCGAGTGAATCTAGCGTTTTACAAAATAGAACAGTTCCGCACTTATCCCTAATATCTCCTTACGGTCTCCTGCTCCTAGGAGCCTGATCACCTGATTATAAGGGCATACCCTGACCGGGGAT